ACACGCGCACACACACACACACACGGGACCCGGAATCCGCGCGTCGAATTACCAATTCAGGCCGAGGAGGAAACTCTCCCTCCGCGCCCGCCCCCCCTTCCCATTTGATCTAGGGGCATATGTGGAGGCGATCCGCGGGGAGTCCAGAGTCAGGCAGGCCACTTGTCCGCTCCGCACACCGTCGCAGAGTCGCCCGCTCCAGCGCGCCAACGCACCGCGTCCTGCTCTGCAGCTGCACACCTTCACCATGTCGCCCGCCCGCCGCTCGCACCTCGCCGTCATCCTGGAGGTGGCCGTGGCGACCCTCCTCCTCGTCGTCCTCTGCGCCCCGCCCTCCAGCGCGTCGTCCAAGCTGCGTGAGTGCAACACAGTGTTTCCTTACACCATCTCTGGAATTTTCTTCTCATTTTTTGTGGCGTAGGGGGATTGCAAAGGGATTGTCCAGCAGAAAGCACGTCCGTCATTCGTCGTTGCGAAGCTCTGCCGAGTTGAGCCTGTGTAAGCTCTCGTAGCGCCTTATAGGTAGGCAACATCTTGCTGCACTGCGCGCAAGTACGGCGGGGTGGCCTACCCCGAGCCGCGCAGGCGGCGAGCTCCCCCTCAATTTGCCGAATGAATCTGAGAAGGAAAACGGACGTACTTTCTGAACGGCTCCACATGCTCGTGTGTGGGACAGTACAATTGAAAAGTGTTTCCGGGGTCAGTGCGTGGCCACCCTGTGTATGTGTGTAGTTGTGTAGTCCGTGTATGGCTTACTGCGTTGTGGCCAAAACTTGCGCCAGTCCATTCGATATGCCCTGCTTCGCCCGCGACGGCAGCTGCAGCTGATGCAGACGCCGCAGCAGCTGCAGACACCTGCCGCCGACACCTGCGCTGGCTGGCACTCGCGACGAGAAGGCGAGCAAGGCGGTCTCCGTGTGACGGCCAGCGAGTCACCGCCACACACGCGCACACACGCGCGCGCGTGCCCGTGGGTATACTGCCTGCCGGGGTGCGTTCGAGTCGCCCGGGCGGCCCGGGCGAGCGCGCGAGCGAGCGGGCGCAGGGACCCCACATAATAATGTTCGGATGCAGTCCGAGTGCGCAATGAGTTGAACTCGCCACCACCGGTTGGCGCGGAGGGAGGGGCTGGGCAGGATCGCGGGAATACTTACCGGCCGATCCTCGGTCTGGCAAACAGCAGCGTGAGCGGGTTCCTCTGGTCGCGCCAAGACACTCGCTTGCAACCTCCCCAGCTTCCGCCGTCTCACCCTACTCTCACTCTTAACGCACCCTTTTCTTTCCCCCTTTGCCGTACGCAGCCGCCGACTTCAAGCGCTGCCGCGCCGACGACCCCGACATCAGCGGCTGCCTGCGGCTCGCCGTGGAGGACGCGTTCCGCAAGATGAAGAACGGCATCGCCAGCCTCGGGGTGCTGCCCGTGGACCCGCTCAAGGTCGACCGCATCAAGATCAACCAGGGCCAGGGCAACGTCAACATCAACATGGACCTCAGGAACATGACCATCTTCGGCCTGGCCGCCACCAGGATGACCAACTACAGGTATGGGCGACAGTGTGTACACACTTACACTGTACTGCTACTGCACTTTTCCTCGGCCGCGGCCCTCTGGACGCCCGTGAGACAAGAGCAAAAAAATAAATGATCGCCACTGTTTTGTCGCCGCAGTGCGGACATCGCCAGCGGCATCCTGCGCACCGAGTCCCTGACGCCGGCGCTGCGCATGGAGTTCAACCACGTCGTGAGCGGGCGCATCCTGCTGCTGCCCATCCGGGGCGCCGGCCCGGGCAGCATCGTCCTCAGTAAGCACAATTCTACAATCTCCCTTTCAATACGTCATTTCCCAAATAACTTTGAATGTAACAAAATTTTTCCTTAAAACCTTTTTCAGACGAGGTCGTCACACACCACTACCTCAAGTCCACCCCCAAGACCAAGAAGGACGGCAAGACGTACTGGACCTTGCAGCAGTACAAAGTCAAATTCGTCCCCAAGACCATCAGCATGGACTTGAAGGGGCTCTTCGGAGACGAAGGCAGACTTGGTGAGATGTTATCTATTTTCCTCCCCGCGAGAGCGGATAAACGAGACAAGACGAGACGAGACGAAAGAGATAGTTTTACTCTCGCTGTCTGTCTGGGCCCGCGGGTGCACCGATCACACGACGCTGACCGCGATCGAGGCCGGCGTTAACGACCTCACCGACCGACCACCTACAGACACTCGCCGACGGGTTGTGTCACTAAATCCGATAAAAGAGGTGTGAAAATACTACGATTAGTTCCAGAGAAAGATAACTGTCAACACGGTATCAATAATAACAAGGCACATCGAAAAGGCGATTTCGTTTGAATAGGAACTCCGCATTTAGCGAGTATTTATTCTTTGGTGCTCATTGTTTTTATGTTCAATACTCTTTCCAGGTGGTCAGCTCAACACGTTCCTGAACCAGAACGCCCTCACCATTTTCGAGGAGATCGGCGGCGCGTTTGAGGACGCGTTCGGCGCCGTGTTCAAGGACATCACCAACCGCGTGTTCAGCAAGGTGCCGCTCAACGAGATCTTCATCCAGCCCAAGTAGAGCCACAGCCTCCGCGTCATCTCTCATACGTCCAGAATCATCGTTAGCGCTCGTCGAGGAGGGCTCTCTGCCTTCACCTCGTCCTCATTATCGACATCTCCAAAGAAACCTTCTCTCTTCGACCACGACGGCTAACGAGCGCGCGTCCATAGTCGCTGCCCGCTGGTGTTAGTTTTAGGACATTTTTTCTGTGATAAGCCTGGACCCGTCGATGGGGAAATAAATGTTAAAAGTGTGTCGACTGACAAAGATGGACAGCGTCGTGTTCTCCGCCCTCCTCACCCTCCCCCACTACACTCAACCCAAGCCTTAAAGGAGCTCCCCGTGACCAGAGAGACACGACGCCGCTACCGCTGCAGCAGGTGCAACGGGCGGGGCAGTCGGGCGGCTAGGTGGCAACTGAACCTGCTGGCAGGCGCGAGGCACTGACGCTGACCGGTCAGCTCCTTCCAAAAGACTCTTCGAATCCCGATAGACAGGAGAGCGACAAAAAGTGCCCCGGTCCTGGCGAGGCGGCCGGGTGGCGTGGAGCGGGAGCGGACCTCGTCCTTGCGTCACCCAGGTACTGACACTGACGGGCGTGTGACTGTGCTGTGACCTGTGACTCCATAGTCCCAGCCGAATCTTTGGAATCTTTAGAGCCGCGAGCGTGCCTTCCAGAAGACAGGCCACCGCTGCTGCTCTTGCTCGACTTCTAAACTTTTCCAATGCCCGCTCACTTCTCAGCATTAGCATTTACCCTGAACATTGATTTAATATTACGCAGGAGAGTACAGTCTGTCCGTCCGTCGGTCCGTCAGTCCGTGCGCCCGTCACCCAGTACCCCGCCTCCACATCCCCAGTCGCACCGCACTCTCTTCCACCTTATCCTCCGACCGCGCTACCCCCACTCCCCCCCCCC